AGGGAAAGTGTGGCATAACATGCCGAAGATTGACGCAAAGTGGTGCAAAGCGAATCTTTGAAGTGGAGATGTGTTTAATTAAAATTTATGAATTTAAAGGTCTGTTGCCAGTTGGTTCCAGTTAAATTTAATAATTTTTTCCATATCTATATGTGTATGTAATAAGATGACATGGAATAAGCTTAACAGATTGCCGATGCTTCTATTATAATTTAGCAGCGTAAATTTATTTCCCTTCTCTAGTTTCAAAATAGTAATATGTCTTTGGACTGCGTCATTTCGAGACTAATCCATGTCATATGACTCTTACATAATTCAGATGATGTAAATTGAACTCAAACAACCAATAATAATTTTACAGCTGTATTAATTATCCGATCAAAATGCATTGAGAACCAAAACTAACTCAGTCTGAATTAAGATTCCATCTTAAACAAAAAGCACTCACTAGGCAACTCTTCAGATCTGCTACTGTTTCTCAACATAAAGATATAAAAAATGCAAACATTTTGAAATAGGCACAAATAACGTAGCAAATTGTTTGTGGCCGCAACATGTTTACTGAAATAAAACGGAAATTTAATGCGCCTCGGCTGCCAGGTTTCCTATTCATTGTGGATCGGCATTTGAGCATTCTACGCCATCAAAATTCTTGCCCTTCATTACGTATTAAACCTTTTAAGTTTTACACGAACAATATCGCCAAAATCCTTTTTTATTACACATATATGTAAGATACTATAAAATATGGCTGCGCTAAGAAATGATAAATTGACCTCAAAATTGACTATTCTGAATTTGATGTTCTTCTCTTTAAGTTAATTTTTTTTCTCCCAAATTCGAGATCTTTCCAAGTTACATAATGCTGCTTGCAAAATCTATAACCTAAAATTAACCAATTGCGGCTTAGCTCTACATATGCACATTCTATCTGTCTACGAGAAGAACAGTTCCCGCCATAGAGTCTGGCGGGTCGTGGTCGCTATAGTAACAGGGCTAGTATATTTCAAATAGGCACGAACCAACGGTTGCTTTATTGTTATTTTGTTTTTTTGCAACTGTTGGCTGAGGGAAAAAGAGTTTATTATTATTATTCAAGACTCTCATTACGGAAAATTGTGTCAAGCCTCGTTTCTACAGCAACAGACAGCTGCAGACTAACTGGCGAGGGCTTTTCTTATGACAGACAGACTGTACGTTGTATAAATACTGCTTTGCGAACAATTACGTCATTCCTTTTGCTAACTTCTGCCCCGCAAACATCTCTGCACTTCTATGCTTTCCTGTCGAAGATGACGTCGGACATTTTAACCTGTGAACATAATAAATTACACTTTATTGTATTCAACTATGATCGAAAAGTAACTTGTCTGCCAAAGAAATGATTTGATTTATGCGTGAAAATTAATATTGTGATACTTCGAGCTCAGTTTGGTCTAGCTTCATCTTCATGCCTTTCACCCTCAGCCATGACGACTGCCGGAAATTAAAAGTGTCGGGTTTCCTCTTATGCATTAAAATATCATATACATATTTGGTTTACTATGAATTCTTATTTTAATTTTGATTTGTTTAGATATTGTGTTAAACCTCTTATACACGGTTGCAATTATTAATATTTTTGAGGAATTGCCTCGCTTTGATTCCAATTTAATATTAACTATAGATGCTGCAAGTTTATTTTATTTCAATCCTGCAGCTATAGCGCAAAATGAATTTAGTAGGTGTTTTTTTTTAAAGCCTATTATTATGTTTATATATAAACACAATTTCTTTTTAATAAATAAAAATATATAATTATTCCAAGAATTTTCGCGCATTATGCTGCTGAAAATTAATCAGTAAATACATAAAGAAAGAAACTTAGAACCAATTTTTCACAAAGACCCAAAAAAGGAATTCAAATTATTAAATTAAAAAAAAAACCTCTATAAATGTAGAATCAGAATTTTGTAAATGTTTTAAAAAAAATTGAAATACACCATCGCAAAATCTACGTAGGATTGAATTTCGTTTTCTGTTCTTTGTGAAAAATTGGTTCTAAATTTCTTTCTTTACACACACACATATATATATATATATTATGTTGCTTTTTCCAAAGCGTTTAGAAATAACGTAATTTTTTTAAATCTTTCTAAGTAAAACCCTCGGAATCCATTTCCAAATTTTCTTCAGACTAGTGCTTTGGAAACTCAAATTAAGGACATATTCCTCGTGCTATAAATTTATACTTCAAAAAATGAGAAACTATTCAAAAATACTTTTCATCAATGCCTGTGATTCCAGATATTCATATTTTTACATTTTTATATTTCTTCTTTGATCTAAATTAAAGTTTATTTCTATATTGCTTCTAACACACGCGCATCATTTAAAACATTCTCTTAATTTACTTCAAGTTATATATATATATATATTGTTTCATTTGCTTCACAGTAATGAATAAAATTAATTAATTTTATACCGTTCTTAATCATGGCATTATATTTTGAAATAAAGATATAAAATTACTCACCTTCTTAATACTTAATTTGATATTTAGTTCATTGAGATTGATCGGAAAATTTTCTATTTGTCCATGGGGAATTAAGGAAATTAAAATCTGAATTTCTGTCGGATTTCCGTTATGCTTTCTCTACATTCTTTTAATAAATGGTCAGTTATGCAGTTACTTATGCGCGGAATCCAATATTTTATTTTTTTAAATCATAACAAATGGTGGAATTTTTTATTGCGGAGTAAAGGCTTATTCGGGTGATGACGTCATCTTTAATAAACTACCACTAGACGCCTATTTTCAAACAATAGCCGAAAGAAGAAGATTCCTCTGCGAATAGCAGCTGAAGACGACCAGCTGCATACCCCCAGACACTCCTTCTCCAGTAGGGTATTTGACCGCCTTTGACATACCTCTACACGGACGGACTTTTCAGTCGTAGACGCAGCCAAACGGAATTGGTAATTGTCAACAAGCGGTGGCAAAGAAACTGATGTCTCGTGACGCTTTCTGGAGCCACCCATAAAATTCACTTCAACAGCAATGTCGCAAAATAATTTTAATATGAGCACTTGGATACACAGATCCGCGCGCTGGGGATAAAAAGGCTGTTCCCCCCCGTAGCGTATTGCCATTGCTCGCTTTTTAGTCGTTGAGTTTGTTAATCAAAATTCGTAAAGTTTTACAAAATGCAAAATCGATCATAAAACAAATTCCAAATTTAAAATTTGGGCTTTCAGATGCCCATATTCGCAGTAGGATTACGTCATTCAAAATTGGATGGCTTTAGTTACTGTTGTTTTATCACAATGCGAGAAACAAACATACATTCATGCAGATTCTTCATTATTTAATTTCTTCAAATATACTACAGGGCGATAGTATTGGGTTGCAACGATTTGAAAAGTGATACAGCCTTTTAAAGTTTTCCACGCACAATCGCAAAACGAAAACAAGATTCCTTCAGGGACAAAGCCTCTTTGGACTAATAAGTAGTAACCATATTTACTTATTTTCACAACATTTTAACTAGGAAAAAAATCTTTGCTAGAGGATTGTCTGCAAGCTCCATGCAAAAGTTCATTAATGAACTCTGTCTAATGTTTCTGGAAATTATTTGACAAAAATGTCGTATCCCCTAATCTTTAATACTCGGGGGGGGGGCGTACATCAGCATTTATATGGAATTCACTGCTTTACATTCTTCAAAACGTTTTTGACAGGATGTGCTTGGATTTGTATCAGAAAGCCTCTGGGATATGTTTTCTGTCTGAAGAAAAGAAACCTGATGTGTTTAATCGTTCACGAAATCAGCAGAGCTATTAAAAACTTGCTCCAAACTAAACAAAAGTTTCTTTTTTGCCTAATTTTTTAAATGGTTGACTAAAGTAAAACCCAAGCAGTTTGTTGACGTAGCCAAGATGTTTTCTTAATGGGTGACATTTTTCAATCATCTGGAAAATTTAAAAATTTATTTTGAACTTTTTTGGCGATTTTACTTCGACTTGAAAAATTTATTCTATAATATTTTGACAACATTAACCGAAATGTGGATCCCAATAAGCGAAGTATTATCATCTTTTCGTATACCAAACGAGAGGGACTTCGGCAATTTGATTAGAGTATCCGAATGATAACAGTAACCCCAATCACATTAACCGATGCAGCGACGTTCCTAGGCCATTGGCTGCCCGCGTCTTTCCTATAGATTGCCGCCCCAAAATTAAAAAAAAAAGAATGCTCAATGATTAATAAAATTTTTATTTCATACTCACTAAGTACTTACATATGACAAGTTGTTTAAAAAGTACTTTCATATGACAAGTGCTAACAATGAATTTAATGAATTTTAAATATTTAAACGTGGATCGAGAGAGTCTGACCTCTCCTGCTTTTCGCCGCCCGCGTACTTTTATGCGCTCCACCCACCGCTAGGAAAGGCCCTGATGCGATTTCTACCGTATCACTACTATTAATGTTTATTTGTCAGAGTTTAAATGTTATTAAATGCCATTTACGCCAGCCATTGAAAACTGCGGTTAAAAGCCATTTAAACGATATAATTTTAATTTTACGGAACCTAAAAATGTATTGGAACGTTACAAATTTTTCAACCTAAAAATACCACAATTCGAATTACGCCAATTGAAACATTTGATTCGAAATCATTTTTGGCAATTGTATAAACACATTTATCGATATGGTGTAATTTCGAGCAGTACAGAATCGAATCATATTTCCATTTCCGTGTCATATTCTCACATTAAGTAACGATCTCGTACTTACACCATTCCCGACTCTCGTTTGAGAAAAAAAGTCAAGGTCAACCTCTTGGAAACCTTTCCGACGCTGTTACGGAGCTAATGGTTGTAAAGCTCGCATAAATGGAGGGTGGTCTATGCATCGAATGCCGCTTAAAGTGTAATCACACCTACGAAACAATGCAATGTCATCGAATGACGAAGTTATTCATTGCAAAGTGTCTCTTTTTTGTCTTTTCCAGATCCGAGGTTATGGAACGAAATGGACGTGACCCGCTGGCTGGACTGGGCCATTCGAGAGTTCAATTTAGAAGGTGTGAACGCGCATAATTTCAGGATGAAAGGGAAGGATATTTGCTCACTCGGGAAAGATGTTTTTCTCTCTTTAGCGCCCCCTTACGTCGGAGAAATACTCTGGGAACATCTAGATCGCCTTCAAAGAGGTAATGTAGTCGTTGTTTTTATACATGAATAAACTTCCTCAGTGCCAGGTTAGGAATTGTCTAGAAATTCAGGAAAGTTTGTGTGTGCTAGATGCAAATCCGAGTGAATGCCATTATCTTCCAATTCATCATTAACATCTTCTTTATCAGCTTTGGGAATAATATCATCTCCAGTTCCATCCATAGCATTACTAATGCAATATTTTCGAAACGATAGTATTGGATTGACACTGTGCAGAACCAACACCGATATACGGCCAAGACTAGTTACTCGCATACGATTGACAACGATAAAATAAAAATTTTGATAAAGTTGTAATAACGACGAGAAGGATTAACGCATATTTATAACAAAGTTGTCACCAAGCGTACGATCGACACTGCGTTAGCCGCGTAAATAAACTTGTAAATTTCCCTTATAGTTTTGGACTTGTAGGACGATACTAAATTTAGTTTCTACGCAAGATTTTTCAATGTCAGTTGAATCATTGCAGCAAAATGGTATCCCTTAGTTTTTGTTAGAATGGGTGTCTATTTGAAAATGTAGACTGCAGTCTTAACCCCTCGAGGAAATAAATTTTTTTAAAAAACCTTTTCCGAGTTTTTCACAACTCTTTTTAAATAAAAAAAAGTAGTTATTCGTGCCAGCTTAGAAAACATAATGTTCAGTAATGAAGAACATTAGATGTAAACTGAGTAACTACTATTTTAACAATAAAACTGTCATTTCTTTCTACATCCTTTTTTGTCTTTTTTTGAAAGTCATAGGGTTGAAACTGAAAAATATCAAAATATTACAACAGTAGATTGTTGTTCGAACAAGGGTGGGGAGGAATAAATAAATAAAGGAATAAATGATGTCTTAAATTACAGTCTCAGTTCACATGGGGGGGGGAACTACAGGCTGTTTGGTGACGACGATACATCTTTTAAGACCGTAAACTAAGTAGAAAAAGCAAAGCGAAAAAAAAGTGTGTATGCCATGGAACAATCAGCTAATCAATGTTCACGTTTACAGAGTGTTAAGTGTTGTCATACTTTTTTTTATATTCGCTATCTTATTTATATTTGGGATACAAATTGTTAAAAGTGTCTGAATGATGACAATATTCGTAGCAATCGTCTCTTCACCTGTAAAATTAGTTACCACTTCAATTTTTTTTTTCTTTTTTTTAACCGCAGAATAGTCTGACATGTATATTTGCAAAGTACATATGAAGGAAGTATATGTGAAAGTTCATATGAACAAAAACACAAAAATACTAACTGAATATTCGAAGCCCCAGGAAAAATGAAAATGTTCAATTTAATCATTCATTGTTTTGAAGCTGTGGTTGGCAACTATTTGTAAAGTATAATAAGTAAAATGTTATTTTTATATATCTAAAATTGCGAATTTTAAGATTCCAATAGTATAATCCATAGGATGTTATAAGCCTTATTATTATGGTCTAATTTTATGACTCCCATTTTGCCGACTATTTTTATTTTAATTTTAAGGTATTATGAGATGAATGAGATTTAAGGCGTGAGTTACCTCTTTAGTTATTATTGTTACTGTAGGCATTATTTTAGCGTTAGCAGTGACATCAGCATTTTGGTTAATACGATTCAGAAAGGCGTAGAGAAACAAATGGGGTTAGAAAAAAAGAGGGCGAAGAAAAAACAAATTGTGTGTGGCGTGACTGCGCTTATTTGATCCATGTTTACGTTTACAAGTAATGTTTTCAAAAATGAGAGTTAATACAAAGCAATCTGAGAGAGAACATCAAGCAGTTAAAAAAGTTGAGTTCTTTGCTTGCGCTTGATGAGACTTAACATCAGTTCTAACACATGGGAAGGGGGGAAAAAAATCGATTCAGATGATTGCAATTGAAAACAAGAGTTGAACCTTGGACAGGAAAATGAAATGTTAGTTGGTCATTTTAATTTAATGTTAAGCATTAAGGTCATTTTCATTTACGCACTATTCGATTCGTTAGAGAATCGGGGGTGTACTAATTTTAAACCAACAGACTGAAGTCACAAACCGATGTCTATCATCCATGTTACTATCGACGCTAACACATTGGCGATCCCCTATGAACATTACTGTTACACCCAACGACGTGTTAAGACTAGAAGAACTAAGGTCTTAAAAGGTTTTGGTGCTTCACATACATTTACCAGTGACGTAGCTGGGAGAACATCCGTCCCCGGGCGCAGCTACCACGGGGAGCAAATTAACGATTTTAATTGGCAAATTGAAATTTTAAAATCAAATGTTTTTCATTCTTGGCAAACAGAAGAGGCCGCAAAATTTTCAGTCATCCCTGGGGGCTGAAAACCCTAGCTACGGTTTCTGACATTTACGCCTGTTTTTTCTCCCCATTTCTTCTCTCAGAGTCTTGGTTAGCTACACCCAACGGGGAATGTTTGTGGTGCCTCCTTTCCTTAGTCCCTAAGTTTGCGATGCCACATTTCTTCGATAACCTAAGCACGTGCTTATTTTGCTTGATGCTTAATCCGACTCTGCCGAGACCATTTTGAAATTCAGTATCCGTATAGACTGACATTCAGGAGGATAACATCACAGGAGTTATCTACGCGATCCGAACAAGCTTAGCCACTTAATGCGAATGCATCTCCATGGGACGCCTTCTAACACATCGGCGCTCAGATTAATAAGCCAGCTCGCTGACTGGGTCATGCGCCTGCTGCCACGAACGCCGGCCAGAATAAAACTTTAATAAAGCAACTGTTAAAGAGATTGGTTGCGGGGGGCGGGGGGGGGGGGGAGAACTAGCGTACATCTCGTAAGAAGTCAAATAAAGAAGCTAAAAAAGAAAGAAAAGAAAACTTCTTTGTTCTCCCGTCGTTGTCAGAAAAGGGCGGTGCATTTAGCGTTGTAATAAGTCAAGATCGCAATCGCTGGATTCGGCCTTCCACACACAGAAACACAATAATTATTGTCTGTCGCCCTGTGTCGCAAGCTCTCTATCCCTCTCTTGCCCAATTGTTACGCTCTCCATTTTCTTCATTCACTACCTCTACGTGGGATTACTCATTCCCCAATCATTTCTGGTCCTTTCTTTCCATCTCCGAGTTTCTGATGGGGTTGGTGAGAGTTTTGGAATGCTCGGAAGCTCCACGCTTGACGTGTGTATGTGTATCGGAAGAGATGACCGTCTATGCCTTGCCTTCTGTTGACACCGACAGTGGAATCAAATTTTCAGTCCAAGCTAGTGTTTGATTATGCGAAAGCAAAATGCGATCCGAGCTTTCACTAATAGAGCCTCCATATCTAACTATATTATGGATTATTATAGACGTGGCTTTTGCGAAAACCGACTTGTGGCTCTGTCTTCGAACTCTTCCTGTTGTGAAGTTTAGCCACCCCTGATCAGTAATATTTAAAATATATAAAATCTATAATATTTAAAATATGCGAAATTTTAATTTTTCCCATTCTAGACTGTAAAAATATAAAATTGAAAGCAGGAACAAAATATTAAATTTCCAGTTTTAGCTCTAAATGTATATGAGTATATAATATATTAGAGCTGGTTTATTGTGTAAACAGAAGGATGACACTTGCGGACAGACGCAGCCGTATATTCGACATAATTCTATTACTCGATAATGCTATTCTTTAAACGCATAATCAGATCGACACATCGTTATTTTGCGCAATAAGCACCCCACAATTTTTGGAAGCTTATACGTCGTGAGGCATATAGTGGATGATAAACAGAAGGTAGCGGCGACGTGTTATTTTGATTGGGGCGAGCGGGAAAGTGCATGATGAACCAGGAAACGCATGGGAGAAATATAAAAGTTTTGGTTTGAATAGACATCTTATTCGGTGATCGGATAAGAGGTGTTTGCATTGCAGCATTACTTAAGACGCGAATTAATTTTAAAATGAAGCAGATTAGATTGCTATATTACGAATTTTACTGTATTTAGAACAGAAAAGGGAAGTACTCAAGGTAAAATGAAGAATAATGGCGCTATTGCAAAATTAAACTTAGTAGTATGCGTTCATATTTTCTATCTTACATTTATACACATTTATTTGTACATTTATTTCTCGCCTATTTATTCCTAATTTTACCGTCTAAAAATTACGCGAGTAATTTAATTTTAGAAGGACGCAGTTATACTAAGAACATACTACTTTCCGAAGGACGTGGTTGCTGTAAGACCATAACGAATGAAACGTAGTTATGCATAAATTGCTGGTAACTTCAAAAGAAATTCTAATAAGAATATATATTAATATTTAACATTACAATATCTGGCAGATACTGGGCCGATTTCTGATTTTTTCCGTAGAGTTCTTTTTTGTAATCTCTCGGAAAGAATGAGTTAGTTCTTAAGTCATTTCTTAAAATTTCGGAGATTACATTTAATAAAACAGATTACATTTAATAATTTCAATAAATCTTGTTTAAAAAATCTAATGAGGACACCACATGACTTCTTTGTTAGGACTATTAAATTATACACACTTTTTGCTGTATTTCATTTAAACGTATTTCCTCGAATTTCGTTAGAGATATATTTCTCATTCAATTAATTCAGTTCTCACTTGGCGGCAAGGCAAAAATACATAAACACTCAAAACATTTCATTAAAAATTTAAAAACATAGAAAAGCATAAAACACCAAATTTAGTTAAAAGCAGTATTTTTTTTTTTTTTTTTTTTTTTTAATCCAAAGGGGCTTTGTCCCTGAAGGACTATTGTTTTCGTTTTGCGATTTTGCGTTGAATCACTAAAAATGTCCGTTTCACTTTTCAAACTGTTGCTACCGAATGTTAGAGTCCTACATTATATTTGAAGAAATTAAATAATGAGAAATCTGCATAAATGTATGTATATTTCTCGCATTGGGATCAAACAACGGTACATGGAGCCATCGAATTTTGAATGACGTTATCCTTCCACGAATATGGGCATGTGGAAGACCAATTTTGAAATTTGGAATTTGTTTTATCATCCGTTTCATATTTTGTAAAACTTTACCAAATTTTTGATTAACAAACTCAAGGATTTCAAAGCGAGCAATGGCAACACTCTACGGGGGGGAGAGGGGAACAAAACATTTTTATCTCCAGCGCGCGCGGAACTGTGTATCGGAAATTGTAAAGATAGACTCATTTTAAAATTATTTAGCGACATTGCAGTTGAACTGAATTTTATGGTTTAAGTGCCAAGAACATGATATTTAATAAATAAAGGTAACACACAAAACGTTAAAAAAACGCCCCTTTGGACGTCATTTAAAATGTAAAACCTTTCAGTTGTTTTTTTTTTTTTTTTTTTTTTTTTTTTTTTTTTTTTTTTTTAACAATTAAAGCGTCTACGCAAAAACAAGCAATTCGGCCAGCCGGCAAGAAGGCAGATTTTTTGGTGCACACAACTGAAAGTGTACTTTTGGTGCCACTCGGCAAAAAGACACTGAAGGTGCAGAAAAGGACTTAATTCACTATTCTGCTAAGTTTTAAATGTAAACAAATGGCTGCTCCGTTAGGCTTAGTAGCGCTTGAACAGTCTTAAATTGTTGATAATTGTACAACTATTGCATGCAAATTAACTAGAGGCATAAAATCCTTAATCGGAACATAAAAACAATGCGACCGATTGCAACCAAAAAGGGAGGTGCACAGCTACATGTTATAGCAGTCCCATATACAAAATTTCAACGTTCTGAAAGTATTCGTTTTTGTACGTATATATGCATTTATGTATCTGGCATGAATTACGCCACGCTTGTGTTTAATTTTATGTATTAAAGAAACATTCCCCTCTTCCAGACGTCGACGCAGGACGAACGGGTGGAAATCTGGAAAGCATCCCTTCCAATATGTACGAAGCAGTCTGCATGCCGGATTTGGATGAATTCTTCCAACACGACCCCTGTTATGCCCCACTGAGGGAACAGAAAGTAACGCCTGTCATGAATGGTACTAATCCCGCCACGCCAGTGACTGCCAGCCAGCCTCCCTACTTGGACGGTAAGTGCAACATCCATCCATATTCATGATTCATGTCCCGCCCTACTTTCATAGCGACTCAGCCTTCGTCAGAAGTGGTGCCTCGGTATACGTCATTAATCCGCTCCATACTTTACATAAATCATAAAAGAAAGACTGCACATAAATATTTTTCTACTGTCCATCTCAAAAGCAATTTTTGAAAGTGCTCTAACGTCTCCTATTTCTGTTTGGGAATCAATTTAACCCTCTTTGCAACATCAGCGGATTTAGTAGCGTTTTCGTTTTTCACAGTAGCAGAGAACTTCGTACTCGGCATACAGTAAGCAATAGCCAAGTACCGGAAACGCATGCTATCGCCATACGTTTCAACACCCTGCCGATCCTAACAATATTCTTCGTTGCTTGACTGTTATCACTAACTTTCCTAAAATTCATTCTTAGTGAATTTACAAAAATATTACGCGAAAAAACACAAACTCTCTTGATAATTCACAGTTCTAGCTAGGTTTGTGTACTGAATACTGGCAAAAGGCTCATTTGCGGTCGTAACATTGTCTCAAAAGCGATAAACGAGGGTAGTCTGTGTAGTCGTGATTGATTGAATTCGAGTCGTATTCCAAATGAATGCCATATAGAAAACAAAAAATTTCCCGTCCAAACCAGGTTGGGCGTATTTCAAACCAGACGTATGCTAAGGTACCAATATATATTGGTCATTAAAATGATAACAGCATAGCTTCTAGCTTTCCCAGTTTTTCGTCACATCTCCTGATCGATCACCTAATATCTGGATTTTTCATTTTTACCCTTTTACTATGGGAAAGAGTTTTGCAGCGATAAATGTGTTCAGGCAACACAATTCGTGAAAAACTGGGTATTCTTTTCAGATACGCGCTATCTATTATTATTATTATTATACACCAGAGAACAGGGGCTCCGTTGCCTTGCAGTCTAGCAGACTGACTGCCTTACACGGATTAAAGCCTCTGCCTCCGGAAGATGATACGCGCTATCTATCACTAGCTAGCGCACAACGTTTATAAGAGTCTCGAAGAAACTAGCAATTCCGCCATCCCATTTTATAATTACGGTTACTGCTCGCCGGATAATGCCCAGCGGCCATCATATGCAATAATACGACACAGAAGTTGTGCTGTTCTGTGCTTCTTATTTTGCATCTATTACAGTTTCCTAGTATATACTTCTGTATCAACAGTGCCTTTAATTATTCCACTTATTTTATGAGCTCGTTATCATGTGGTAAGACCATTTTGATTCTGCGAATGCCTCATGTGAACTTTACTCGAGAACTCTTAGTCTGTTAAATGAATAATCGCTTAAGTCCAGAAACAGAAACGTAAAACTGAAGAAGGGTTAATTACCCTTTACTGCTCAAAATAAAGGTATACAATCGGCCCCTTTCTCAAGGCGTACAGCAAAGCCTCCCCTTGGGCTTAAACTCAAAAGTGTAAGAAATAAGAACTTAAGTAATAACTAACTAAAGAGATTTAGTCGAAGCTAACACAGATCTAACTAGTTGGCCCCTAAATATCGAACTAGCTAGCAAAGCTATCAGGGGCCCCTAATACAGCCGAGCGTAGTAACAGCTTAGAGAGACGTGGCCAAAAGGCATACGCGCGGCTAGTCAGGAATTTTGATTCTCTTTCTCGAAGTCAGTGAAACTTCGACTTAAATACTACTCATTTGCATTTAACCCGATTCTAAAAACAATTTCTGGCAAGGAATTTGTAAGTTAAAATTAGGAGAGATAGGAAAGAAGCTTGTAAGATTCTAACCTGTGTATTTTAAGTTAAAGTTGAAGAATCTTAAGAACTGGTAAGCGAATAATCGCTTGAGTTCGTGAGACAGAAAACAAAACTTGGGAAGGGTTAAATACCCTTTATTATTCCAAATTAAATTCACAGAGCTCCTTCTTGGAGTTTTACAATACTCGGGCTTGAACTCAGGAACTAAGAAATTAAACTTAACTAATCTTAACTAAAAAGATATAGCCGAAGTTATCAAGATTCTAACAGAGTTAGCCCTTTAGCGCTAAATAACGGAGATGCTACCAAGGGCCTAAAGTACGGTCGAGCGTAATAATAGCTTAAAAGAGAGTAGCCTGAAACGGCGGCCGCGCATTAGTCAGAATCACTGGTTTTCTCCCTCACGAAGTCAGTAAAACTTCATATTTAAATACTTCTCCTCATTTGCATTCAAACGCGATTCAAAAAATACTGTTACGAAATGTACAGGCGCGGTATGATAGCTTCCTCTCAAAGCAGGTTTAGGGTTGCCATAAAATGCAAAGGCAAGGCAGGGTTGCCGCATTTGGCGAGAAATCGCCCATTTGGCCATGTACCATGGACGGTTGGAGAACCTTCTGGAACGAATTCTTACCGGTTTAGCCCAGAATGTTCTCGAACACCAGCCAAAATGAATGGATAGGAAAGTAACTTTAACTCAAAATTTAGCTGTTATGTAAATTAAGATAATCCTTACAAGCTTTAACTTAAAAAATAACTGTTATAAACTTAGGATAAACCTTACAAGTTTTTCATTATTTATTGATGATAATTGTTTTTCTTCTTCATTGGCTAAACAGCCCAAGTCGGCTCTGGCCTTTTCCAGGCATCGCCGCGTTTGGCAACTTTTTCCAGTTTTTGACTTTGAGAATGTTTAGGTCATTTTCAACACTATCGATCCATCTCAGCGAGGTCTAACTCGAGGTCTGGTTCCCATGGACTTTCCCAGAAAGACTTTTTTTTTTTTTTTCCAGAAAGTCTTTTTGCGTGAAGAATGTCGATCTTCATGCATTCTGGCTAGATGACCAACTCATTAAAGTCTCTATAGTTCGAAGAATCTTACTACATCAGATTGTCTGTAGATCTTATATAGCTCAAAGTTAGATCTTCTCAACGATCCCTTCGGACGGACTCCACTACGTATGCGACGCAAAATCATTCTCTCAAAAATCCCTAAAGTTTCCTCATCACGTAAAGTCAGTGCCCAAGTTTCTGACGCATAAGTCAGGACAGATCTTATAAGACTCTTATCAAGAAGTAATTTAGTTCGGAATAAAAGTGAAAGAAAATTATGGAATGAAATTAACCAAAGAATATAAAATTTAGAAAATTGAATTAAACATTAGTATAGTTTATGTCAAAAATATTACAAATTGTTCAGTGACCTGAATAGTGCACTATAATGCGAATTTGAGTCAATTTGGAGCTCTTTTGAAATAACGCCGCCCCCTACTGCGAATACTTCCCTGAAATTGTCGATTTTTTGAGCGAGAACCTCACATTTTTTCATATTTCATGTCTGTCAACTTTGTAACGGTAACTATCTACGGCTATTAGAAAGGCCTTTTATGTAGGCACTTCTAAATGAAATATTCTACCACCAAATAACACCAGAGGACTTTCGGCTCACCATATATTTACAGTGTCCCCATGTCGCAAAGACACTATACAACCAAGAATTGAGCTTATGTCGAATTACCAGTGTTCCGCGACTTTACCGCTCCGCCGCTGGCGGCATTCTATTGTAGTAATAATGCAAGGTTTTTCGAGTTTAGAGAAAGTCGAAAGATTCGAGAAAAATCCGGATTAGATTCGAGAAAATTTAGTTCTCATTTACCTGCATTATTAAGAATCAGTATTTATATGTAAGTAAAAATATTCTGCTGTTTTGTCTCTGGTAGACTTTTTTAAAAAGAGATTTTGTCTGATCAGTTACCGAGTTTTTTATATATCTGTGATTTTTATTTCCAAATGACATCCTTCTTTTATTTATTTAAATTTTTATTATGTAATGAAAGAAATTGCATTTGTAGACAGTAAACTTTCTGCAGTCAGATGCAGAGAAGCAAATGCTCTAGTTTCAAATGGATGTTTGGTTAAGAACGATTGAATTGCGATTTTTGCTTTCGCGCGATTTTTTACTTAAGTGTTAGTTTGCAAAATTTGAAATTATTATTGGCTGAAGCGTTGTGTAAACGCCTGCGCCATTAGCGTTATGCATCTGGGTTTACATATCATATTTCTAGTTCGGTTAAAGCCGGTTACATCAGAAATTTGCAAATTTTCTGCAGTGAATTTCATTTCTATTTATTCTATTATCCTTGAAACGCATTGGAAAAATTTCTTGGAAAAAAGAGGCAAATATCAAACAATAAGTATTCATTTATATATTTCAATGAGGTGTCATTTATGTGAGTGGCGTTAAAATTTTATGATCTGAATGGAGTTAGCCAAATTTAAATTCTTCAATATCATTAAATCAAATTAATATCAAGTTGAAATTATATCAAAAATCAAATTAATATCGAGTTGAAATTTGCAATTTTTAGCTTACTAATCTAAAAATTACAACTTGTAAAATAGAGTTTAGTTCGATTATATCGAAAAACAGATAAATGACACAATTTCCTCATCGTAATCACGGTGATATGTTATATTTATCATGTTATCGCTATATCCGTGATGTTAGCGAACTTTCCCATCTCATAAATAGTTCTAACTCTTTGAACATTTTCGAAACTAATAAAATAATTCGGTTTCTTTCGTAAGTAACGTGAATAGAATTTAGTTTCTTTTAGAAGGTTCTTCATCCAGACATCTCTTTCCTTCGGTAGGTAACCTTTTCTTGCTTTGTAAGAATCATGGAACAGCTACATAAACAAAATTAAAGATCCTATCATAGAAGACTGGAATTTTTTGCTACACAGAAACAGGATTTCCTACAGTTGTTATTGGCGTGTATCCCGGTGTCTTCTTTTGTTGTTTACATAGTGGCCTTTCTATAAATTGTTATCTGTCATTTCTTTTAAGTGGCCTGTTGTTATTTTGGCACTGCATGTCCGGCGCGGCTCTCTGGAACACACTTGAATGTGCATTGAAGTAGTTAAGGAGTTAGCAACAAACGGCTTACATTGACGTCAATCGTCTATCTTCCATCAAGTCTCGTGACCACCGAATTTGCTGAACAGAAGAAGTAACAACTGTGTACTTTTG